AGAATATTTTCAACTCATCCCGGAAACTCGAACTCGAACTCGAACTCGAACTGGAACATTCGAACTCGAACGGATGTTCAGGATTATTCTTCGGTATTCGCTTTCAGAATGAAGGTCAATCTAACTTTCATTCCTTTAAGTGAAGTAATTATTAAGGAAAATGTAAGTTCTAAATTTCCCAGCACAAGTACTTAAGATATTTTAAGTAAATGTGAAGTAATTTAGTTCAGTTACGGTAGATACTTATTAAAACCAGCTATTAAAAGATATCTTCAACTATATTTATTCGCTCTCTAGAGGCGAATGAAAGTTAACTTGTGCAACTTGTAAATAAAAGTCAATTTTAAATTACATCCATTAACTGATCATGAAGATGAAGTTTCAACAGTTTTGTTTAGAAAGGGTCTTCCCACTTTAGGGTAGAATTTCAACCGCCTACAAAGTAATGTCACACTTCGCGCTGCTAATCGATGCTAACCTAGACTAAGAGAGGCCAAATCAATCCGGTGAAACCTCCGTATAACCAAGGAGCAAGGGAGTGGAAAAATATCTTCGCTATAACGATTGCTTGTAGTGGGGTAAAGAAAATCGTTCGTTATACATAGGACTCCGTAATCAATAGAGCTACATTGTAGGTTCGTTATATCGAGGTTCCACTGTGCATAGCTAGTTTATGATAAAGCACATGAAAAATTAGCCCTGGGAACTTTACATTACTTTGACCAATATGTACAAGACCGCCATGCCATGTGATCACATAACTATAGGACGCGTACCTCGTACTTTCGGGATCTTTCACATTATCCGCTTCATCGTTCGTGACCCCTGTAGTACCAAGAGAGGATCTGACTCTATTGACGATGTAAAGGTTTCAGTAAATGTGACATTAAACTAAAACAAAATTACTGAGCTCATAGTAATTAATATATCATTTGAAGGTCCTAAAGTTCGAAGACCGGAACATGGAACATTATTTTTGTAACTGATGAACACACCAAAAAATACCGGAAGAGATTGCAGGTGTACTCAGTTTTCACGGATCATTCACCTACAGCACGCGCAGGAATTATCATGAATTCTAAAAATCTGTTGGGTTTAGATTTCGATCTGATGAGTCCCTTCAGAGTGTGAATTATTTAGATTCAAATCCATTTTTTTAAATTTTAGTAAAGAAACGCTTGAAATCTGTTTTTTGGTGGATTCTAAAATGCGGATTTGACTTTGACACATCCTGTGACAGGCCCTGGGTGCGTAACCTAGAACTAAGATTGAAATATTCAGTTACAAAATTAAACACATTATTTTTTATCTTATTTCCGCTGGCAATATTTCTTGCAACTTTTCCTGAGTTTTGCTGTATCTTTGTGAGAGACGTTGAATCAACAAGACAAATATTGCATAGGATAATTAAGCGATATCTCCTGGCACAAAATTGTCTAGCAAAATTTACCTTGCAAAGCTATCAGAACTTCAATTAAAGTAACATCAGTAATGTACCTCCCGTGGTATACTTTTTCGGGCTTTGGTCCAACTTTGTACTTTCTGATTACAATCAGGGCGGTCCAAAAACAAAAACAGAAAAGGTGTTGTTATCAAAAAACAATATATTCAGAGAATTAGCTGGGTTTTTCCGGTATTCCAGTTTCGTACTTCCTCAATGGGTCCAAAGACCAAAACGAAAATTAAGAATTTGTTCATGCTTAGCGTGCGTATATCGAGTTATGGATGCACGCGGGAAGTTTGGAGAGCACGAAAGATGCGTAAGCGTTGCACGAGGCAATAGCCGAGTGCAACTCTAGCTTCTTGAGTGCTCTCCAAACTTCCCAAGTGCATCCATAACTCGATATACGCACAGCTAAAAGCATGAGCAAATTCTTTTATAACATAGCTGA